AGGTACTATAAACTTTGAAGAACTTAGAAACCTGCTTGTTCCATATAATTATATTTAACAGGCATTTTTGAAGAAACAGCATAAGACTCAAACACTATTTTTCTACACATATACACATAATGTTACCTTTCACTTGTGTAAGCAAATAAATTATAATACTGGCTAGAGTATTGTTTGCAGCAATGTAATTTTTTCTGAACATAGCTCTTATTCTATTATGATGCTCCACTGATTCCCACACAATGTTTCCAATTCACTTTTCCTGGCTTGTGAAACTTTTTAAAGAAATGTTAGCATTTGCAGACACCAGATGTTTTGACATAAGGGGAAGCAATATGTAAATTTTAAACCACGCGAGGAACAATAGCCTGGAGGTAACTTTTTCTTAATATGTGAATCATATACTTAACCAAAATACACCCAAACCTATCAAAATCATCACCTTTCAATATGCTGTTGTCTTGTCTTATGGTTGCCAATTAATAAAACTGATATCTATTTAATATGATAGATATTCACTATATGATAAACTTTATTGTATTTTATTCTTTAAACATCATATAGTCAGAATTCTGCTAGTGATAGCAATAATTTTGTGATAAGTTCTAATCCTCTTGTGGGTAGATAATAAATGTGTTGATTGAATTATATTTTAATATTTTATAAGTTTTGCCTGTTACAATAAAAATATTAAAATATGTTATAGCTTTCCTCATATTTCTACTTAACTCAGAATAAGGTGTGTGTATGTGTGTATGTGTGAGAGAGAGAGAGAGTGTATGTGTGTGCATGTGTTTCCAAAGAAAGAAATTTGAAGATGGCTTAAGATGTTTTACAGACATATGATATAATAAAGCCTAACACAAGAATTCTCATTTGAAGAAAACCTTTCTCAGATAGAGATTAGAAAAAAATGTTAAAGCTCCCTCATTGACATTCATGTACAAATGCACCAACACCTGTACAGTCACATACAGCATACAATCAATTATAAAATCCATTCATTCATCAGTTCAGTTTAAATACTGCTCAAAAAATCCCTGACTTACTTTTATGTGCATTAGGTTGGTTATTGTTTATACATAGAAATATTTATATTGATTAACTTTTTGGTACTTACTATGTTTTTCATTATCTAGTCATAAAAAACAAAGAGCCCATATTTAAACATGGGATAGCATGATAAGTATAACTTGTTATAGTTAACAAAACATTGATGCTTCATCATTTTTGAAGCAGGTATGTAGGAAAAAAATCATAAATGTGGCATTACATATTAGAAAATCTTACTATCACCAAAACTCTTATTAACTTAATTATCAAGGGATGGATCTAGTCAATACCAATTAGCAGTTTTAAAACATTTTACATATTAAAACACAGTATTCTATTTATCTAGATTGTCTGGGGAGTATCTTGTATATTAAAAGGTTCTGCAGTTTCTTAGTGATCTCACTGCTGCCATTTGCCTGTTAGCAATTTTACAACATTCTGATAAATATTTTCCATAAATCAAAGGCATAACAGCATGGAGAAGCAGATGGCAGGAGACCCTATTAGAAAATGTAACAATTACGTTCAATAATGGGGAAATATTGGAGCATCATTTTCAGCATGGGCTACATGGAAAGCAGTTGTCAGTTATGAAGTCTCATGGCTGCTAAGTATCTTTTCAGGTGATTCACCCATACTCTATGTTTCCACTGCATTCTATATACAAAGACAGAACAAAAAAAATGTTAAAAGATTTAATGGTTATAGTATTTTTTAATCTATGCAAAGAAAATATTATTGCATTTAAAAAGTACTTGTACAAAAATTCATATATGGATTGAAGTATACCAATGCTCTTCATTTTCTTAGAAAATAAGACCTTGCTTTGTTGTTAAAATGAAAAATAGCAATAATTACAAATTATACAGTCTTATATTAACAATGTTTTCTTGATATAATCAATATTAGATTATAATTATAGCAATGTTACATCAACTATTCATATATATAAAATGCTATTAAAGTCAGAGATTTTTAACCACATTACTATTATTAAGATTAAAGAGCTGAATTAATTTTAGCCCGGCATGTCATAAGTAACTGCTCTGATGCTAGACAAGATTCTTGAATTTAGTTTGCTTTTAAACATAGTAGTCATATTTTACAGTTCCAAAATATGTAACTTACTCATAGCATAATTCTTTTAGGAAAATAACTCTCCCTTTTCTTTTATACATTTCCCTTGTATATGAATAACAAGATTAAAATTAAACACAACTAAAAATTACTTCTAGCCAGGCACCAGTGGCCCACACCTGTATTCCAAGCTACTCAAGGAGGCTGAGATCCGAGAATTACAGTTCAAAGCCAGCCTGAGCAGAAAAGTTCCCATAAGACTCTTATCTCTAATTAATCACTCAAAAACGAGAAGTAGCACTGTGGTGCAGATGGTAGAGCACTATCTTCGAGTATGAAGAGGCTCAGGGACAGAGTTCAAGCCCCACAACCAAACTGAAAAAAGTTACTTCCATGGGCAAAAATGCAGATGTTTTAAAATAAAGAGGGAGCATTGGAATAGGAGAGCATGGGGTTGTAAAGGCAAAGTTTGTGGAGTTGATTGTTTTATACTGCTGGGGAATGTAGGAGAGAGATATTTAACAGAATCACAAGAGTAAAAATCAGGTTCACAAGCATTTTTCAAAGGATATTTTATGCTGAGTGATTTTGTTTGTTGTGAAATATCATAAGCTGTCCTTGATCTTCCTGACTCTCTTCAGGGCCTGGATTACAAACAAGTGCCAGAAAACTAAGTATGTGCTTTTTACCCGTATGATAAAATTCTGCCCTTATTATCAGAATTGAAAATAATTTGATTTAACTTCTCAAATTACAGAGAAAGGAGATTCTTTTTTTTTTTTTTTTTTGGGTGGAGGGGGGGAGGTCCGGTTGGGTCGTGGGACCTGAACTCTGGGCCTGGGTGCTCTCCCTCAGCTCTTGAGCCACAGCACCACTTCTGGCTTTCTTTTTTCTTTTTGCTTATGTGGTGCTGAGGAATTGAACCCAGGGCCTCATGCATGCAAGGTAAGCGCTCTACCACTGAGCCACCTTCCCAACCCCAGAAAGGAGATTCTTGAGGTCCATGAAAAACATACATCTTACTAGATTCTGGTTTCTCTTCTCATCTTATCCGCTTTTCTCTTTCCACATTCTGAAAAGTCTTGCGCCATTGATGTCATTACTCTTACATCATTTGTCATTCTATTGAAGAGCTATATTCTCTTCCCAAGACATAATTTAATGATTCTTGTTCAAGATAGAAATACCAGGCTTGTGCACAGATAAACTCCAACTACATTGATTAGTCTTCAAAATTAGTGTTTTTCATGTTAATCAATTAAAATTCATTTAATTCTCCAAAATCAGGGCTACTGATGGAAGCTAAGAAGGATATATTCATCATGTGATAAGGATTTATTATGTTTCCACTTTCTCCAACAGTAGGATCTAAAGTTTTGTGGTGACCTATTTTCCATGTGAACAGTTTTCACATATCAGTATTTCAATGATCAATAATCCATAACATTACACCTCATTCAAGGTGGTAATAGATATTTTGCTTTGCATTTTTAGGTTTCTTCCTAATACTAACAAGTTTTTTCCTACTACCCCATTTCATCCTCTATGACATGACTATTCAATGAGCATCTTCAGAGGTCGCGCAGATCTTTGTGCTGACTGTTTCACAAAGATACCTTCCTCACATAGAATTTCTGATATTGAATTTTGCAGTTTTCGTAAACATTTTCATTTTCTCTAAACATCTCTATTTTACAGTTTAAGCTTATATTTTAATTCTATTAATTCACATAGTCTTATTAATCCAGCTTCCTCCCCCCAACCACCATATCTTTGTCTGCTCAATGTTTTTATAGAACAAGAACTCACTGAAATTCTAAATAATCCTTCATAAATACTGTCTGACTAGGTGATCACCATACCTCTCAGATGTGGAGCATAATACACAGCAACATCTTTGGTAACCCAATTCCCAAACCTAAAGCAGACTCAAGAAATAAAATCAGGGTGAGACATTGTCGATGTGTTTGTGAAATGGTAACAAAGTCACCAAAGAGTACAGGACACTCTGAGTTCTTGGGGGAAAACAACTTTATACTAGATTCAGAGTTGAATGTAACATAGGTCCTGCATTTACTAATTATTTGTATTGTCTATGTAACTTTTATTAGTCAATTTGGAGAAAACTTCATCGAATGCCATCCAACTTTGGGCATAATGAAAAAGTTTGAATACCTGAAACAATTTCTTAGTAAGAGACCATTTTACATTTTCTTTGCTGAAATTGATTGTCTGATATCTCTTGAAGAAGAAAGGAGAATTTGTGATGTGATTCTGTTACTAATGAGAAATCAGAAGAAAGAAGAAAAAATGAAATAATATGCCCTATCCAAACTGTGTACACATGTGTAAATGTTTCTGGGAAATGATGAAATTCTTAATTATGTGCTGAAGAAAATTATCCATTTTTTTCTCTTACTCTAAATAGAAGAAAGAGACATAAATGTGTCAGAACACTGTTAGAACCAATGGAATTGAGCTAACCAAAAGCATTGGGATTATTTTCGTAACAAAATTTAAAACAAATTCTCTTTATTTTAATAAATTCTCATGTTGATTATAGATTCACTTTTCAATTACATGACAAAGAAATCTGTAAATATTTCCTCATCAGGCTTGAAGTCTGGACAGGGGACCCACAGAAAAAAGAGGCAATATCACTGGATTTGTTAATTCTTTTTTTTTGGGGGGGGGGTCTGGTCGTGGGGCCTGAACTCTGGGCCTGAGCACTGTCCCTCAGCTCTTCAGCTCAAGGCTAGAGCTCTACCACTTGAGCCACAGCGCCACTTCCGGTTTTTTTCTTTTTTTACTTATGTGGTGCTGAGGAATGGAACCCAGGGCCTCATGCAAGACAAGCACTCTACCACTGCGCCGCCTTCCCAGCCCCATTTGTTGATTCTTAAGCACAAATCTAAGAGGTGAATTGTAGAATATTAAAGAGAAGGACTAAAATAAGGGTTGTATCTTTCAGTCAATTTCTCTTCACAGTCTGTTAATAACTTGTTAACACTGAAGTTTTTAAGACATCAATACAGACTTGTTGCCTACTGGGAAAACAAAATTTAGGTAGATTTGGACTATGTAGTATCGGGATTTGTCTTTCTGTAAGTCCTTCTGTTGTTTCTAGTCAGTTTTTCATGAACAACACATTTCTTTCAGAAAAATGGAACAAAAGCAATGTATGAAACATAGACCATAGCACTGACATGAAATTGTTTACTAGTTGATAGATTGAGCTTGCATTTCTTATAACTCATCCCCATCCTCTGAGCTAAAGCTACTTCTCCTACTGCTTGCTTTGGAAACCGCAGGGGAAGTGGCAGATAGCAGAGGGTCTGTTCCAAATGGGGATATTGTGTCCTCCAGTAGCAGGCTGTCCAATCTTTGTTCCTCTTTCAAAGCAGCACTAAATGATAAATCTGTGAAGTGTGACAAAGGATCAGAGAAGGCCATAGCTTGATCACAGAGTTCAGGACTTGTTCTCTGAAATAGGTTCAGTTGTTGGCAATAGTCTACTGAATTCTGTTCAGGGTGACTCTGCTGTTTGGTGAGGTGAGCCTCTAAACCAACCATGCCAAGTGAAGTCAAGGCTGGCAACCCATGGGCACGAGCCTGTATTTCTAGTTCCTGAAATTTCAAACAAGAATCATTATATAATGGCTTGCAAAAAAGATATAACTCTAGAGAATAAACCAGAAATTAGAACCAAAATAATGAAGAGTATTCTTCACAAAGAAAAAAATTCAGTGCATTTCTGTTGCCTGCAAAGTAACCCCAAGAAAATCACCCAGGTTTTGAAAAATTCTCCTCTCAATGATCTCCAAAGTTATTCATGTTATATGATGGCCCCTTAGTGGCTCACACTACAAAATAGCCATATGGAAATAGTAGACTATCTCCCATTTACTCTTACTGATTAATTTCTCTCCATAATTCTGGGCCATTTCATGGAAATAGAGTAAATGTATGCATTAAAAAGAAAAAGAGAAGGTTATAAAACCCCATATTTTGATACTTCATGTCACATGAACAATGAGAAGTGGCTTAATATAAACTACTGCAATGTGGCTTGAGGCAATAAAATTCATAGCAATGTTGCCAAAGAAATTAAACAGAAGGGAAGAATTTAGTGTCCAATATTATCTATAGAAACAAATGTTCTACTTAGTATTATGTTTGGGGCTGGGATAATACATGTATTTATGAAACAAATTTCATTTTTCTGCATTTGCTAAATATATATAGATATATGTATGCATGCATATTCACCTCAATTGGCTTCAAATTGAAGCCAAATTTTACAAAAAAAAAAAAAAGTAACTGATAAACACTTAAAGGGCCATCAAAGATGATCAAATGAACTCTCACAAGAAAAACTGTTCATAAGAAAGTCAATGAGACCAATGAATAAAACAGATAAAACGTATGACACAGTATGCCATATGTTAGCTATGCAGTTCATGGTAACAGTCTTATAAAAACCTGAATCCGGAGGAGAAGTCGCTTGTTCGCCTGCTCTAATTTCTTCTGTCTGTGTTCTAACTCTCGAGCCTTCTGTTGTTCTTTTTGTAGCCACTTGATGTACTCCACTGATGCTTTCAGAATGGTTCCTTTGTTCCAGCGCATATCACTGTAGAGCGGAGAGATAACCTTTTCACAATTGTGCATGTCAGCAGAATTCATAAGAACTTACAAAATCTTTTACATTAATATGAAATAATGATTTACATGACTATTATTCACTCTTAGATATTATTGCTTCTGAATAGAAATTTTAATAGAATAGTTAAGAAGCCCTTATATAGTAAAATTAATCCCAGAATGAAAATAAGTGTCAAAGGAAAGTAATAAAGTGACTTTTTGTGGGAGAACTAAATGCAATATCATGATTCTACCATTACAGTTTTTATATTTTTAGTGAAAATTGCTTTTATTATTAACTCCAAGATTAAAATCTATGTTCAGTATTTCTGCATTAATGAACTAGGAAATGTACATTACTAGCAACTTAAGCCTAAAAATTTTAAGATCATTTCAAATGTACCAATCTTTTAACTTATTTCCTAATAAGGTTGCTTTTGTTTGTAAGAGAAAAAAATAAAAACTCTACTGAATGGTAATCCGGATTGATTCTGTAACATACCAGACTTTGACAATATCACTTTATGCAAAAGAGCAAACATTTTGCACCATTTGAAAAAATTTTTTCTGCACAAACAGCTGAGTAGCTAAAAATGCTAGATATGGTTGCCTATTTTTAAACAAGCTTAAGGTAAATAAATACAACGAAATATTACTAGGTAAACTTTTGTCTCTAATATAGGAAATATTTTATAAAATTTATTTTTCATATTAGAGAAATTTTCAATATGGAAATGTGGAACAAGCTACTGATTTTAATGCCTGAGAATATAAATCAGGGATAGTAATATTTTATGAGCATTGATAATGCGCAGAGAATAAGTCCAAACTAATTGCTGAAAATACTCTGTTTCAGATTAATAACATAAGATGTTGTAAATACAGCATAAAGTAACTATGCGGGGAAATGTAATATTATTCTAAATGTATTTTTTTGTTTACATAGTCCTACGTGTTGACTTTAATTTGTATTTATTCTCATCTGAAGTGGGAAAACGCAGTTATGAAGGCTATGAGTTTAATGTGTCTCACTGGAAATTAAAGTTAGTTGACTATGTCATTAGCAATTACAAATTAAAGGAAGATCCATTTTTCTACCACCAAGTGGAAATGCATGTTTGGGTCTAGGTGATCTATCTTGTTCTGATAGCTATTGAGACAATAGCTACTTGTAAGAATTTATTGCATGATAGGATAATATAAAAAGACTAGCTACTTTTGTCATGGAAGCAATAGTGTCTGAAATAGAACTATTTGTAGCCTCCTGAACTAAAACTTTAAGTAGTAGCAAGAGTTTTGTTTCATTTCATGAGGAAAAAAGATTAAGGTTATTGGTGAAGTGTATTGCTAGCAAACTTCCAAATTCAAAGACCTGTTTATCTAGAGCTGAGATTAATTTTCAAAATAATAGTAGAAAAAACACAATGTCTTTTTTCAATTTGTACCTAGAGTGTGCTATTTTCAAAAGGACTCATTCATGCTATTTGAAAGCATTGGAATAAATGAAAGTTATTATTAAATTGTTTAACTTTTTCTAGGAATTCTGCCTCTCTTCCATGATAATTTCAAGCAAATTAGAATTAAAATGATTTTAAATTAAAAAAATATGTAAGTACCCTACATATACTAAACATAAAAGCATAGTTAAAGAAAGAATGTTGGAACAACTCAATAAGAATAACATACTCAGTGAGTTAAACTGAGATTTCATTTGTTTAGAAAAGGAAAATGTCAACATTAATGTGTATGGTCTTTACATCAGCAAATGAGGTGTTTTATATTTTGATTTAGAACTGTGTTAGATTTAGGAATAAACACAAATGTATTTGTAATTTGGTTGAACAGTAATACATTGGTTATTTCCTAGTTCTTGATTTTTAGGTAGCTTTTTTATTATCTTTAAGTAGTTGTACATTACATTATATTCTACATGTCCATTTATGAGCACAGTTTCATAAAGCTTTTGAATAATTGTGGTTAATGTGCTACTGAATTAAATTTGTCAGTTGTTATAATCTTCCTATTGGCCTCAGATTGTAGATCCTTTAATTTCACTTACACATTATGATTCTCTTTTTTTCCAGAACAAATGCCATTTATTTCATGGATATTATATTACTTTACTATTGATGTTCATTTACTTTAACAAAATGTCTATAAATGTTCTTTATAGTCATAATCATTTTCAAACAACTTGCATAAAATTGTTAACCTTTTCATTCCCTCAGGAGATACATGCCAATCTTCTGTCATCATCATGGATTATATCTAGTTTATATTTGGTAAGTTTTCAAGAGTTATTGTTATTGTGCATTCAATAAAAAGTATTCCTCATGTAATTTTTACTTTTAGTACTTACAAAAGAGAATATTGATAATGGCCCTTCCTTTCTCATAAAACAATTTTTGTTAAAAAAAAAAAAACCTTAAGACTTGGAGCTGGGAAAGTGCCTCAGTGGTAGAGTGCTTGCCTGACATGCATGAGGCCCTGGGTTCAATTCCTCAGCACCACATAAGCAGAAAAGGCCAGAAGTGGCGCTGTGGCTCAAGTGGTAGAGTGCTAGCCTTGAACTGAAGAGCTGAGGGACAGCACCCAGGCCCCAGATCTCAGGCCCCATGACTGACAAAAAAAAAAAAAATCTTGAAACTTTAAAGGGGGGCTGGTGAAAAGCTTGAATAGACTTAGGACCAAAGCAGGAAACACCAATGTATAAATTGCAGTAGAAATTAATCAGACAAAACTATGAGAAGTCTTTTGTCTTTTAGGCATTCACATCCACTTGAAAGCAATAAAATGTTTTAATTAAGAATGGTAAGGGGAAACAAAGGAGGAGGCAACAATGCTTGATAAGAAATGTACTCATTTCCTTGCTCATGTAATTGTAACCCCTCTGTATGGTATTTTCACAATAAAAAATTATTAATATAAAAAATGCAAACATCATAATGAATGTTGGATTTGTGATTTTCTCAAACAAAAGTATATTTTTTCCTTCCTACCTCCACTATTTTGACCTGCAAAGAAATACACTTTTCCAAATGTCTATTAACATAAAAACAGTAACTACTGAATTTGGTCTTATGTATTTGTTTTGATTTCCTATGGTAAAATTAATTTTAATCAGGAGGCGCATTAAGGTTCAGATGAGTCTTGTATAATAACAATAGCAGCAATTTCACTGATGATCTCAAAGCTATTTGTGATGATAAATGTGCAAATAAATCTGAGAGATATGTTTAAATTGAGGCATTCTTAGCCCCTAAAACTGTCATGAACTTTTCATGGGGTATTTATATCCTTTTTATGTACAATGTATAATACTCTAATAGTTTCTTTATCAAAAAAACCTATACTACTTCAGTGGTTCCTTTCCTGCTACCAGTTAAGGGTTACAATTTCCCAAACTTCCTAACATGGTTTTATAAGTAATGAGTATTTGCTTATTTTCTTTAATAAACATTCTTAGTCATACTCAATTAGTCCAAAATTTGTTAAGTTCCAACTAAAATCTAGCTAATATTTACAGATTATTTCCAAATGGTTATTAAAGATCCATATTAGTTTGTTTTTATATAATCATTCAACATTCTATATTGACACTTTGATTAGCTATTTCTTGATTTATAGTCTCAAAGTTAATATTGGACTCTGCCAATAAAATCTGATTGGCATCAATCAACGGGTTTTTGCTTCATTTTCTTTTGATTTTTATGCCAATATTGGAGCCTGGTACTCTCACTTCTCTTATTTATTTTCTTATTTTTTTTGCTCATGGCTGGTGCTCTGTCAATAAAACCACACATCTACTTCTAGTGATTTGCTGGTTAATTAGATCTAAGAGTTTCTTAGATTTGTCTGCCTGAGTTGGCTTCCAACTGTGACTCTAGAATCTCAGCCTTCTGAATAGCTAGGATTACAAGGCTAAGCCACTGTCACCCAGCATTGACAGAATTTTCAATTCTATTTATGACTTGAGAGTCTCTAGAATTTAAAAATGTGACAATTCCATTTTTTATTTTATTGTAAATTGGAATAAGTTTTAACCCCATAAGCAATATCCCAGTGATCATCACAAATATCTTTGACATCATCAGTGAAATTGCTGCTATTGTTATTATACAAGAAGAACAGCTATGAATTTAGAAGCAAATGTATTTCCTATGTTCAGATGGCAGCGCTGTGACAACCTTGATGCTTGAGTATCCTGGAATATTTTAACATGAGCCCAGCAATAGCCTTACCTTTGCTGTTGAGATGCTTAGTTTCCTCATCATTGAATCTATCCTCCCTCTTTCCTCCCACCCATTTTTGGGGGGCATTGAAATCACAATATTATTACAGAAATTATTTTGAACTCACGGATCATTAGACTTTGGAATAAGAGTGCCAAGCTCCTTGATTCGGTAATTAATATTATACCTTCTTCTTCTTTCAACTATTAAAGGAGAAATATTATTGATTATTCTCATTAAGGCACAGTTCACTTTTGGTCAGCTGTAAACTTTCTTATTAAATCACTTGAAAAATAGTGAGAAAAATTATTTAAAATTTAGTCAAAAGTGAATATTGCTTAATAACAAAATCAAAATTCAAATATATCTTATCAGAAAATACAATTTATAACATTAGAAATGTGAATATATGATTTTAAATTATTTAATCCTCTTTTTCTAAAAGAAGTATTTTTGTTCTTTAAATTGGTATAATATTTACTCACATACATAAATACATGTTGTCTCAACATATATGTGTATATATATGTTTATTTTGTTATTTCACACAAATGTTGGTCCATCAAGGTTGTAATCTTCTGAGGCCAGGTAACATGCTTACTTATTCATATATTTTCCTGAGTTTTTAGCACATTACAGTGTGCAAATACCTATTAATTTATTTTTCTAGTAATATATATGTTGGTGATTTTCAAACTTCTCCTATTTTAAGAACTACTAATATAGATTTTAAGACAATTTTCTTTGTTGGCATTTACATACAGTCATAACACATGGCAACTACATATATGTGTATATATATATAGATATAGTAACTACTCAATAAATGTCAAATATATGGTCAGACATGTGTCCAATATTTATTCTAAGAGCAGTCAATTTTATGTGCCTAATATTTTCAATCAAGAGCTATAGAAAAATACCAGTGGCTCAGACTTTTAATTCTAGACAGCTGAGAGGCTGAAATCCATAGGGTTTCAGTTTGAAGCCATCCCAAGCACAGAATGGAATAGAGGTGGGGAGAGAAGTAGGTGGGCAGCAAGCTGAGTCCTGGCATTATCACAATATTCCCAGGTCAAACAATGATGACTAGGAATGTCAAATTCACTCATGGTCTTCTAGTCATTAGGAAGAATGAAATGCACTTTATTTAGCACTTACTAACTTGACCTATACCTCTTACATTTTTAGACGTGGAGGAAGAGAAACCTGCCTTGTACTTTTGCTATGCTCTAACAATTTTTATAGTTTTATGGGTTGTTCTAGATCCAGATTAGAAAACACTTGGATAAGGCACCCAGCAGACACCTATAATACACTACATTAAGTGACCTGTTGATAAACTGCAGCTATCAATAGAGGAAGAACAAGGGCAGTACTCATTAACAGATGTACTAAAAGAAAACTCTATAGTTTCTCAGTCTATATTAGTTGCTTCCACCAGCCATCAACCCTCCCCACTCTTTTATGTCTCATAATCTGAGCCAAAGTTATCTGGTGTATCCTTAAGGGTTCTGGGAATGCCATCATTTTTCTCAGAACTCTTAAAACCACTAGTCAGCTCTTTCTGCCTACAGTCAGCTGTCACCACTATGATACGGAAGGTACATTAGACAGGAGTTCAGATACACAGATTCATACCAGAATAAAATCCAGCCAATCACTTATAAGGAAATTACTTGTTCACATCAGAGCTTTGTTACCATTTATTTTTATTCTGTTTTATTTTTTCTCAGTTTTTGATTTAGCTCCTAGAACGAAAAGATTCTCACTCAATTAGCCAAAAGCCCACTTGAAATACTTAAGCACTTGTGACAAAACTAAGCACTCTAAAGCTCACATTCTCTGTCTCCTGTGACCCCTTATCAGAGTCAAATTAACCTCAAGGAAGCCTGGGAAATTCAGCATTACAACATAAGCAATGCCTTTGAGATGACAAATCACTAGGAAGAAAAGAATAAATCCAGAAAAATGAGATGCTGGACTTAAGTTTCTGACAGTTAAATGCTATACATTTTCTGTAGCCACTTTTTTCTTAAGTCTTTGGATCAAAAAGTCACAACACAGGGCACATGGAAGCAAATGTATTTATCTGAGGTACCTACTTGAGAATGATATCAATCAAGGGAGAAAATTCAACATGTCTCATTTTGTGAAAATACGTAGCTTTGTAAATTTTCTCTTTTTTTATTGTGAAAATACCGTACAAAGGGGTTACAATTACATGGGCAAGATAATGAGGACATTTCTTATCAAGCATTGTTGCCTCCTTTGTTTCCCCTTCCCATCCCTTCCCATACCCCTCTCTCTCCTCCCCCCCCAAAGTTGTAAAGTTCATTTATTGACATAATGACTTCTACATCTCGTTGCAATGGGTCCACCTGTATCCCTATTTAAACAATTTGTTCAGATTTTGCATTTCCCAAAGTAGCTCAGAATTCAGAGCATGTACAAATTAATTTTGATCCTCTGACTTCAAGTACTTACAGGACATCAATAAAAGACAATACAATTTAATATCCATGCATTTCTTCTTACATTAATTTTATTTCACAAATAGGAAATTATACTCACTGAGATTATGATTGTCTTTTTTTTGTCTCTCTTTTGTCAAAGCTCGTGGGTCAGTTTCTACTGAAAAGGAACAAAGTTGAAACACTGCTTAGTTAATACTTTCAAACCTTTTTAGGGAACATACCTTAGAAATGCTACATGAAATGTACATTGCTTGATCCAAAATGATAAAAATAATATTTTATACAAATATTGAGAAATTTAAAATTCTCAAGTGAAGTCAAGAGTAAAGCCATCAAGATTTGGAGTAGTAAAACTTGGACTATTATTTTTCTGGTTTTCCATTTAGTAATTACGTGATCAAACACCAAAATTCCTGTCTTCAGGCTCTTCATCAGTAATATGAATAATTCACCTGATTATTACCATGATGACTGCGAGAGAAATATAGTATACAAAAGTATTAAACTGTCTACCATTTCTTTTACTATCTTCTGAACCTTGTGATATAGAAATTATTCCAACCTAAATCCTTCATACATAAAATTTCTATGCCCAAAGACTTGGGACTGCATTCCTCCAGTATACACACAACTCTCTGCTATCTTTCAAATAAATGTCACTACACTCTGTGGATTATGTGGTTGTGGCTGTGGGTATTGCCCTTTAAAATGGCTTACAATTGTTCTTACTTCCTAATATTCACACTTTTTGTAATTTCTCCTGCCCTGAATTGAGCTTACCTGTGAAACCAACATAATTTTATAGAAATGTCCAGTGTGGCTTCAAGGCTAGATCATAGAAGACGTCAGCTTCCACTGAGATCACCAGTCATGATATCATGAGGGTACCCAAGCAACAATGAACCAGATTATTTGTCAATAAGCAGCATTACCTTGCAAGACCTAGAAATGGGAGTGCATCTACCAATCCTATTCAAGTGTCCAATTGAGTACTTCTAGCTGATGTCTGGATTACAGCTCTACAAAAGACTGAGTCAGAATCAGTTTGGTAAGCTTCTCCTGGATTCCTGTTCCTCATAGACTACATCAAATTGTAAATAGTTGTTTAAAGTTATAAATTTTAGGGGAAACTCATGACTACATAAAATTAGATATTACATTGTTCTCAGAATTGTTACGCTTTTTAAAAAAGGTAGTAAAACAAGCTGGGTGCTGGTGGCTCATGCCTGTCATCATAACTACTAAGGAGACTGAGATCTGAGGATTGTTAATGGAAGTCAATCTGGGCATGCAAATCCACAAAATTCTTACCTCTAATCAAGCAGCAAAAAACTAGAGGTGGAGCAGTTGCTCACGTACTAAAGTGAACTTTGAGTACAAAAGCTCAGAGACAGCATCCAGGCACTGCGTTCAAACCCCAGGATCAGTGTTCTCTCCCTCTCTCTCTCTCTCTCTCTCTCTCTCTTTCTCTCTCTTTCTCTCTGTCCCTCTCTGTGTGTCGCTGTCTCTCTTTGTCTCTGTCTGTCTCTGTCTCTCTGTCTCTGTCTCTCTCTCACATACATAAAACACACAGATACACACACACACACACACACACACACACACACACACACACAAAGGTAATAAAACAATATGTTCTGGGCTGGGAATGTGGCTCACTAGTTGGTAGAATGCTTACCTTGCATGCATGAGGTTCGATTCCTCAGCACCACATAAGCAGAAAAAGCCAGAAGTGGCGCTGTGGCTTAAGTGATAGAGCGCTAGCCTTTAGCTGAAGAGCTGAAGGACAGTGCCCAGGCTGAGTTCAGGCCCATGTCGGACCAAAAAAAAAGTTCTATTTAAAGTCATTAATATTGTCTGAATGAATTAAGCCTAGAAATTTTTTAGTTGATTAATCACTTGTTACAAAAAAATTTAAGTGAATTTTATATTACTCTTTATAGTTCTAACACTGGACTTGTCAGTAAGGAAATCCTTGAACTTGTCCATTTCTTCTTCTAAACAATGTTATAGTTGAGAAAATAACTCTTCCTTTGCGTCCTTCATTTATATATTTGGAAGTATTTGACTATAACTTCTTTCAACTGAAATAATTTTGAAATGAACTATGAAAATGGAAGTTTTTGTTTACTCAATTGAGAAAGTTAGATATAAGTCATCATGAAATCCATTATTAAAAAAAAAAAGTTTAAACCAGCTGGGCAACAGTTGCGAGTCGCACATGTAATCAAAGCTACTCCAGAAATTGAGAGCTAAGGATAGTAGCTGGAAGTCAGCCCCCAAAAGTGCTGGAAGTGGCTATGTCCCAAGGTATAGAATGCTAGCCTGAAGCACAAAAGCTTATGGACAGTGCCCAGACCATGATGTCAAGCTCCAAGGCAAACACACACACACACACAAATTAAAAACAAAAATTTAACTAAGCTTTTCTTGATACTTACAAAAATTATTTCCCTAATTTAATATATTATTTTATTTTGCAATCATGTTAATAGTTTCATCTATTCAATAGCAAATGAACCTAGGTCAAAATTATTACATATACACATATACACACAAATAAACATATGATAGGTATAAGATTACACACACACACACATAACTACACATGCAATGCATATGTATGTATTTGTTTGCAGTAGACCCTTTTATCTGTATCTATCTTATAAGAAGACTACCACTAAGGAAAACCCACAAATATTCAAGATGCACAGAGATCAGCACTTTTGCTGAAGACATGCCTCCTTCCAACGTTAGCATTTAAGCACATTTACTTGGTAGTTTTACCATAACTTTTACTTTGCTAATTTGGACACTATTGCATTTGAGAAAATATATTTCTACAAAATTAAAAAAGTAGAAAACCAGCAAATCATGTAGTGATTTAAACACAACTAACATTACCAAGACTGATTGAGAGCTTCTCCAAACCAACTAAATAATGTAATGTGAGCAGAGGTACTTTAAAGAACTTTAAAATTACAGAGTTTGAATTTTTTAATTTTTAATTTTTATTTTTTTCTATGTTTGATCCAAAATGTGTGGAATAAATCTGTAAATATGGTAGACTCATCATGCTCTCTTTCTCTATAGACAGATGATATAGATATATATACAATTTTATATATTTTATGTATATACATACATAAATACACACATTGGAAATTACCTTTTAAATTTCTCCCTTTTAACTATTTTGCTCACATTAAAATTCTATTTAACATGATAATTGATGTCATTTATATCTTATGTAGTTGATAAAAATTTAAAGTGTAAAACTATAAAACCAACATTACCTATAATTTCTTTTTTCATTGGTAGATTACTTGGACAGGAAGCACTTGTAAGACCCATATTAACTGGTGAAATCCCCTTCTTACCACTATACACATCCAAAATACTTCCAGATAGCTGTAGAGAAAAAAAAGAAAAATAATATAAATTAGCTTTCCATGTACTTGGATATATTTAGTTGTGAACTTTAAATTCCTCATTTTAAATTTGTCACCTTGTTACTAATGATGAGACTATACTACATCACATTTTAATTTTAAACAAGAGTGTGCATTGACTAATTTGAAATATGCATGAGCTGTTTATGTATAAGATACTGTAAAAAAGCTATTTATATTTAAACAGATGAGAAATGAGTTCATGCATGAAAAAATTCTGATTAATATTTACAAAGTTATGTAGGTTTGAGCCAGCATATGACATAGTTATAAATGAATGAAATTAAAAATATCATTTTGTATAAAAAATCAATACATATCTAGCAAAGCTGGAAAGTTCATTGAATACCACTAATAAGGTTTAATTGTTGAATATCAGGAGTTTCTTAATGACATCAATGATACAGACAACTCACATTCTAGGCTATTTCATACTGTTCATTAAGTGAGAAACTCTCCATTCTGGAATGGGTATTTTTTCTTACTGTACACTTAATGTTCTAGATAATTAAAAAAGATCCCAACCACAAATATTCTAAACCTACTTTTGCCTCTAGTGAATACAGAGCACATCCAATTAAACACAGTGCAGTTGTTAAAGTATTTCGTGGAAACAATTGTGCAGAAAGTTAAAGTTTTTTATTATTCACAACTTAAGTTGCAATGCCTCTTTATTCAAACTTGTTGATTTGATTGCTCAAGAAAACTAAATTTAAAAATATTCATATTTCAAGTTATTAGCTATTTTTTCCAGGAAAAGCTGCATTAACAACATAGGATATGAATATTTCCATTAGAACCATCTTTATTCCATTTCTGGGCAGTTAGCCAAAAACTGAATAAAAAGTAACTTTTTCCTTTCCCAAATGACTAAAAACAATAAGTATAATCAAAAATAGTTTAACAAGATTATTATATGACATCTAACACTATAGTTTTATGTATTTGCAGAACTCCAATTCAACCTGAGAGAAATTTTTTATATTATAAAATCAAAATGGAAATAAATATGAGGGTTTTATTAAGACCAAATTAGTTTCTGGAGTAATAAACTGCTATGATATATGTGGTAAATATTGTGTATTTCGAGGGAAAATAAACTTTGAAAATCCAGTTAAAATCATCTAATATATTAATTATGTTCATTTCAATAAGACTCTCTTGCCTGCATATGGTATTCTGATATACATTGAAATAGTATCTTTATCATTAACTACAGTAAAACTCTTCTCTTTATGTTGTTCACAGTCATTATTTTACTTATTCCTTCATGTTAATTTTTAGTGCTGATACTTTAGAAATTCTCACATGATGATCAATTCTCACGTGATCACCATCATCTCTAGCACCAAATTACCCCCAGTACAATAAACTCATTTTTAATGTTCTTTTTCATTATAGATCCCAGAAAGAAGGATCAAGTAGGTCAAGTACTTACTCCATTCAATTTCCAGTACTACAAAATAAGGATAAAGTTAGTTGGCTGAATTTGAGATATTCTATATGTTTCAACCAAATACAACTAACTGGGAGGAAATAAAAAAGGCAATTATTTTTCTTAAGCTAAAAGCCATTTTATGATATTTTTAAATAGAATTTTCCAAGATCATATTTGAAAAGCTCAAGCATCACCCACCTGATCTGAACATTTTCATTGTTACTTTGAGAAACATAATGGATATACTGAACAAAACACTAGGAACTGGCCTGGCACCAGTGGCTTATAACTGTATCCTAATTAATCAGGGGCTGAAATTTGAGGATCTCAGTTCAAAACCAGTCTGGCTATCTTGCCCATGTGATTGTAACTCCTCTGTATGGTATTTTCATAATAAAAATAAATAAATAAAACCCAGTCTGGGCAGGAAAGTCCATGAGATTCTTATCTCCAATTAACCAGCAAAAAGCTGAAACTAGAGCCATGGTTGAAGTAATAGAGTGCCAGCTTTGGTACAAGAGCTCAGGCCCTGAGTTCAAGCTCCAGGTCCTGGCACACAGAAAGAAGGAAAGAGGGAGACAAACAGACGGAAGGAAGGAAGAAAGGGAGAAAAAGAAAAAAAGGAAGAAGGAAAGAAAGAAAGAAGAAAAGGAAGAAAGAGAGCGAAGGAAAGAGAAAGAAGGAAAGAAAGAAAGAAGGAAGGAAGGAAGGAAGGAAGGAAGGAAAGAAAGAAAGGAAGGACGGAAGGGAGGAAGGAAAAAAGAAAGAAAAGAAAAAAGAGAAAGAGAAAGAAACAAAGAAAGAAGCAAACAAGGAAGGAAGGAAGGGAAAAAAGTATTTTTTTTTTTGGTTTAATGATTAAGAACACAAAAAAAAAAGGGCATGACAAAGAATCACACTGAAAAGCACACAAAAGATTAAATTGAGCTGGGTGCCAGTGGCTCACGCCTGTAATCCTAGCTACGCTGAGGCTGAGATCTGAGGATTGCAGTTCAAAGCCAGCCCGGGCAGGAAAGTCAATGAGACTCTTATTTCCAAATAACCACTGTAGCTCAAGTAGTAGAGCACTGTCCTTGAGCTGAAGAGCTGAGGGAATTCACCTAGTTCAAACCTCATGACCAACCAAAAAAACAACTTACACTAAAAATTTTAAATGAATTTAAAATTAATGAACATGCACATAAATTAATGTCTACCATTTTTAAATGCCTTAAATGAAATTTGTGCTCTAACAATATGAGGAAAGTAGATCCATTTTTGGAATTATTTAAATAAAGTAAGTACCAATTCTCCTCACTAAAAACCCAAAAAGTAAAATAAACAATAAAATAAGAATATAAAGAAGTAAAAACAATTAATATGAGAGTGATTTACAAAGCAAAGGTTTTCTCCTTTGGTGAAAATAATAACACGTTTTACATGATTGTAGTAAGACTAATTAAAATGAAAGAAAACTAAATAAACTGAAAGATGTAGTACATCTTTAAAGGGGAAGTTTTCCTGTATGATCTAAGGGAACAACTGATTGTTCTTACCATTTCTCTTCAATAGATATTGGATGCTATAGTCAGAATAATCAGATAAGTAAAAGAAACAACTGTTACATAAATCGGAAAAGAGTAAGCGAAGTGATTTCTGTTCACAGATGACATGGCCCATGACTTAAAGTTATAAAGTCCTAAGATTCTACCCCAAACACCTATATTTGAATTAACAAATGAGTTTGGCCAAATTGCACATCACAAATATCAATTTCCTCTCATTTCTGTTTAAAATGTATCAAAAAAGAATGAAATACTTAGGAATAAACAACTCAAAGAAAAACTAGCACACTGACAACTAAAACATATGGCTGAGGGAAATTAAAGAAGACTTAAACAAATGAAGAGGGGCTGAGAAGGTGGCTCAGTGGTAGCGTGCTTGCCTCGCATGCATGAGGCCCTGGGTTCGATTCCTCAGCACCATATAAGCAGAAAAAGCCAGAAGTGGTGCTATGGGTCAAGCGCTAGGGCGCTAGCCTTGAGCTGAAAAGCTGAGGGAAAGTGCCCAGATCCAGAGTTCAGGCCTCACAACCGACAACAAAAAAATAAAATAAAATAAAAAATAAATCAAGAGATAGTTCATGTTTATGGATGGGAAGGCCCAACATTTTTTTTTTTTTTTTTTTGGATCCGGTCGTGGGGCCTGAACTCTGGGCCTGGGCGCTGTCCCTCAGCTCTTCAGCTCAAGGCTAGCGTTCTACCACTTGAGCCACGGCACCACTTCCGGCTTTTTTCTTTTTGCTTATGTGGTGCTAAGGAATCGAACCCAGGGCCTTGAGCATGCAAGGCAAGCGCTCTACCACTGAGCCACCTTCCCAGCCCAGCCCAACATTTTTTTTAATGATGAGACTATTACTAAAAACAATCTGCAGATTAAATGTCACTCCTATCAAATACTAGCTACATTTTAAAGAAATAGAACATTACATACTAAAATGCATATGGAATACCTTGAAGATCTAAAACAGTTTTGTAAATGAACAAGATGTCAGGGAAGGTAGGGAGGGGAGGGCAGGGATAGGAAGGGGAAACAAAGGAGGAGGCAACAATGCTTGATAAGAAATGTACTCATTACCTTGCTCATGTAAATGTAACCCCTCTGTACAGTATTTTCACAATAAAAAACTTATTAATAATAAAAAAACAAGTGTCAGTTCTCAAAGCTTACTACAATGCTATAGTAAAGTACATAGTGTTGTTCTAGCATAAAAAGAGATATACATACCTATTAAGGATATTGATGAGGATAGAAATAAAACTTGTAATATCTGGTCAAACGTTTTTTTTTAACATGGGTGCCAAGGTTATCTACCGATAATTCTTTCCAAGAAATGGTGCTGGGTACACTGAATAGCCACAGGAAAAGAATGAAGTTGGGTCTTTATCTCACAACATATTTAAAAATTAACTCAAAATGGGTTAAAGAATGAAACATAAGATAAAACTGTTTTTAAAAAGCAATAAAAAAAGTCTTAGAACAAAACAGCAAAAATTTTATGACAGTTGATATGGTTGTGATCTTTTTAAATATAATACGAAAATCTCAGCAATAGAGAAAAAAAGGAGAGACTTAAGTAAAATTTAAAACTTTGTAGATCAAATCACCAACAAGTATGAGAAAAGACAATGACATAATAAGATAAACTACCTGAAAGTCATATAGAGGCTAAGAACTTGAAATCATGTCAGTTGTCTCTCTTCTGTCTCTTTCTATGTATACACACACACATACACACACACACACATACACATATCCATATATTCTTCTGCAACTACCAGGAACAAAATAAATTAAGAAAACAACTTTCAAATTGAGCATGAGCCATAAATAGACATTTTTCCCCAAGAATATGTACATACCTAGTGATCACATAAGAAGATGTCCACCATTGTTAGTAATGGGGAACATGAAAATCAAAACACCTCTGATGCCACCTCCCACTCACTGTACCAGTGATTATTAAAAGGAAACAAGGAGGG